TTTTTGTTATCTTGTTTTGTAGAAACTGATTTATAAATACAAGAAAATTCTAAAATAGTTCATTCGTTTGGTAAACCACTATATTTTGCCTTTGGGTGAGTCTTTCAAATGTCACAATGTATTGTGGAGATATATCACACATATTGTAATACTTTATACAATTTAAGCCATTTTTTCTTAATTCATTATATTTGAAAATAGTTATATATGGAGTTATTTTTGACATTGTTGGATTTTCTTGAAAAAAATAATAAGGCAAAAACTAAATATTGTGATTTTTTTTAAGTTTATTTTATTTTACTTATTTGKATTATATATAATATAAATCTTCTATAATTTTTAGAAACATTAGCTATTTAGTTATTACTCGTAAACTTGTCATAAGTCATAACAATATAAAATGCTAGATGGATATGTACAAAATCTTATTTCCAAGTCAGAACAAAAATTTAGCTTCCACCCTCCGAGTCTATAATTTTTACTAATAATTTAAAACAAAAGTTGATTGACAAATAAATCTAGCAATTCTAAAAACGAGTAAATTCCKATTTATTGGATGATTAAACATTTTGAGTTTTGACATTTCTCGATTTACTTTTTCATTAGTTCTGTATCTAGAATATCTGACGTGTTAAGCAAGCATTTAAAATCCACTCTTTTCGTTGACATACACAAAATAATAATTGAAAGTGAAATAAAATATACTCACAGATTCTGCTGCCAAAAGACGATATTATGTAATTTGATTATAGTGCAATGATGGTTCTGAATTATACTTATGTTGCCGTATATTTYGTTTTCTCTAATTCTTTTTCATTTAGTCAATTCCAATCTTTGCCAATTTATATCACACACGAGTGGTCGCCTTGTAGATTGTATCAATGGTTATCATATGATATATTTATCTAGAGTATATAATATTTATGAGGCGTAAATAAAACAAAATAAATTAAATATGTCTGTAGAAAAAAAATAATAATAATTAATAACGCAAATATGATTTCAAATAGATCACGCTATATTAGCAGAGTCTCTTCAATTATCAATACCAGTGCATCAAAACAGAATAATTTCATCAAACCGAGATCCAACAACGTTCAATAATGTTTCCACACTACAACGTATAGGTATAGTAATTATTTATCGTATTATTATTATTATCATTATTATTTGGAAATTATTCAATCGCACGATGTATCGAAAAATAATTCTGTATACTAATATTATAATCGCTACCTACCCAATGCTACATAATATTTTATAATTATTACAGTCCCTTACCAAGCGGTATTCAATCAATTTTCAGCTGCGATGCCAAATACTCCTCGTAAGTTTTCTTTTCTAAATCATATTTTAATACAATTTTAGATTTTAATACGTTTTTTTCTTCACTTTTTTCAGGACCCAATATAACTTTTGGACCCGAAGGCAGTAATTTGTTTATATACCATTTACCACAAGAATTTAGTGACAACGAACTCACTCATATGTTTATGCCATTTGGTCAGGTGCTGAGCTCAAAAGTGTACATAGATAGAGAAACAAACCAAAGCAAATGTTTCGGTAAGTACATTTCTTTTCAATTATTTTATGAA